ATTGAACAGAATCTAAGCACAATTATTGCATGCAATGAAAAGTATTGAAAGACAAGTAAAGCTCAGTTATGATAAGGCCACATTATAGTGAATCATGAACGTAAAATTAATCTTTTCAAAGGCAGAATAATGACGAATCGATTTGTAAAAGTCGGCAAATTCAGTCGGATAGCTTGACGTTGATGTAATAACAGTTCAAATTTCACTTGTGTGCAATTTTCTTGAAGCGAGACCTACACGTGTGATCTTCAACTTTTGATCTGTTTGGCTCAATTCATGAATTTATTACACTTCTCGAGAGAGTCAATTATTTCAAAAGAAGTTAACAATTTCATGGTAACAAAATTCATGAATCAGTGAGTGTTGAACAAGGCGCTGAACATCGAAGATAGTTATTTGAACGGCTTAATTCTTGGAAATCACTTTGCAAGCTTTCAAAGAACTCAATGACATTTTTACGCTCGAGAATAAGTGCATTCAATAAAAATATTTTAATGTTGCGAGTGTTCGAACAAACCTGCATTTGATTCTCCACTTCGTCATCTTCGAATCGTCTGAGAAGCGACTCACGTCGTGGTGCTCTGAATGCATTTCTGCCACTCCTGAACAATGCGCCCCTCACGGATTGTGTCATCGGAAGCATTGTCGATAAAATGCTGATGCACAATAATACTGAAATGGAGACTGTTGATGTCGTTCGCAATTCAATGCGATACCACTGCTCACCGAGAATTGATCAGAATAAACTTGGTTCAGTAGCAAACACATTTCAACATTAAGATTTTTATGTGAACTAACTAACTGAAGGAAGGGAGGAAAATGTTCACTTTCCGAGAGTATCATCTTCAGAAAAGAATCTTCAAGTATAGGTATACCTCAGGTTACGTCGTTTCGGGTTAAGTCGTTCTCGATTATACGTCGTTTGTACTGTACTTTATTTTGCTCTATTTTTTCTGTATTGTATTAAAAACAAAATTTACTTATTTATAAGCTTCTAAATCGACTGTTATTAACCGCATGTTATTGAAAGTGTATTTAAAAATGAAGTGCAGAAATGGGGCTGGTTATTTGAGGTTTTGCA